GGCACAAAACTGCAGCTTGCCTTTTCTGGCTTTTTCGATAAGGCCTTGAGAAACACACCACATGATCTACTCTTCAAAAGTGTTCTTTAATCACAGTAGACATGTCACATTAATGTTTTCTCCACAGACTGAAAACCTGAAGTAATGCGATTTCACCACAAAAGTTTCCATTTACTACAGTACAACAAGGGGAGAACAATATCAAGACAACTTTGGGAATATAGCAAACTACAGGTTATTAATTCATTTATTTATTTTAAGAGTTCATTTTCCATTAAGGTACTGAGTCCTGTCAGACAGAGAAACTTAGAAGTACTTGGTATACTGCAAAATTTCAGCAGGATAGTTGAGTGATCCCTTTAACTTAAACTCTTTATGTGCGAGCTCTGCAGCACATTAGAATGCAAATCATAACATTTAGTACCAAAAGCTTCAAAAAGAATTAAAAATTAAAACTGCAGTACAAAGTTCTTTCTGAAAGAAGAGCTGAAACAGTCTCCCCTGAACCAGGAAGGGGAAAAAATTATTGTTGTCATGAGTAGTGACAAGGTGTCACAATCATTTCATCCAACAAGAGAGCAAAATCTACATTCTAGAAACTGCAAAATCAAATGGGTCTGACTCCTGTGCTTAGTCCTACGTGTCTTTTCTTTCTAAACATCCTTCAGGCACTCAAAGTACAACCTCCATCCCACGACCCTCTGACTCACCGTTTCTGCACCAAGTGTCTGCAGGCCTGTGTAGGTCCTGTCCAGCTGGGTAAAACAATACAATATATTAACCAGGACAAAGCAATATATTAGGTAGAATTTACAACACAAATTGTTTGAAAGGAGTTCAAACTGTGTAAGTTGAGCAGCAGCACATCCAATTTCTTAAGGCCACAGGGTCAGGAATCTGCATGCTGTGTTAAGTGTGCCTCTTCTGCAAAAAAAGTCAACCATGACCCAAAGCCCACACTAAAATAGGAAGGAGCAAAAAAGCTGAAAGGAAATGAGATTGTTGAGGAAATTTCAGTCTAAGAGAAGTCCTCAAGCAGTGCCCTTTTTCATTCCTCATCTCAATATAATGAAATAATAATGAGAAAAACTCAGAGATTTAAACTGACCAGCACAAAGGCTATGCTTATAGTTTTTGATTAAATAACTGTTCACACTGAGTATCAGCTGATAAAGAGGCATAACATCCCAGAGGCATCTGTTAAGACACCTACAGAGAGAAGCTGGGTTTGACAGGCTGCCAGCCATAAACAAGGGCTCAGCTCATCCATATCCACTCACAGCAGCCACAGGCTCAGCATGAACAGCAAAGGTTTGCTGATTTGAGCTCGTGTGCCAAGGACTGTCTCAGTTTTCTTCTGTAGGCTGGGCCTCCTTCACTGCCCATCACTGTTACCAATATCTCCCCAGGTTATATCTCCCCAAATATATTTTACTTATCATCTGCATTACATGTCCTTAAGTTGCAGGGGAATATTTTCAACCTCCTCTACTGTCTATATTTGGGGTTGCAACGAGGTATCTACATTAGCATGAAATTCATTAATGGAGGCAGAGTTTAAATAAAACTAATGCTGCTCAAAGCAACAGGAGACTAAACCAGCTCAGGACTTAAGTCTGCTAATGCCAGGGACTACTAATTAAAAGGAAAACAAGAGCAATGGCCTAGTTTTCCAGGACTGCTGCATACTATAAATCCGACTGAGTGCTGCAGGAGTGAGTGGGTTGGAAAAGAAAGCTCTTTTCAAAAGGAGCACAGACCAAATGGGGAATCTCAGCCCTCCCTGCCCACTCTAACAGGGATAATCACTAGCTGATGTGTGCAAGTGCTGAAGGAACAGAACAGACACAGCGGTCACTTTACCAACAGAAAGACAGCCCTGCAGCCCTGTCAGGTTTCAGCCAGTGAGAGCAGGATAAAAATCTCAAACTGTAGGGAAAAAAAAGCAGGTAAATGCTTTGCTGCTCTGAGTAGAATCAACTCCAGCTGCTGCAAGGCTGGGTTCCCTGGCTACTGCATTGAATCCAATATAGCCAAGGTAAGAGGCTTTCCTGGATCTTTTTTGATTCTCCAGCTCAACTGTTCATGTGAAAATAATCAGCAGGACACACACACAACACAAAGAGGCAGAAACACACACACAAGCGAAGCCTCTTTCAGGTTATGCAGGACAGCTCATTTAAATGCCTTTCTCTAAAGTATTTTGTTCAAATACCTTCAAATTGTGTATGATATCAATCCTCTTGTTCTGGCTATCCTTGAAGTGTATCTGTACTCTCACTGGAAATTCTCCCCAGCCTCTCCTGGTCAGGTGAAATGGAGGTTCTCTGGAAACAAACAGTGATTACATTTTGATGCAGAAGTGGTATAGATTTCATCTCCCTCTTTTTCAGAAAGCCCAAGACTGATTTTCTTGCAGACAACTAAAGCTATCTTCAGGCCTGCTATTCGCCACAAAGAGAATGCAATCACAGCAATGAGAATTTTATGGCTTTGGAAACTAGCTGAAAACATACTTTAACTTTACACAAGGGGACAGGGAAGAAAATGATAAAAAGCTGTTGGATGAGAGGCATAGGAAACAAGTGTCTTATTTTGAAAAGAAAAAAAGGCTGTGTTATGTCATATGTCAAATGAAAAATACTCTCTTCAAAAAACCCCAAGCCAGCCCCTAGGGCACAGCTGCAAGGTGAGCCTTCAGTGTAGCATTTTGCAATCACTTCCTTCTGTTCCCTATCGAGCAGAGAGAAAACACATGCTTCATATAACACCCAGAGAACAACATACAGACAACAAGGAAAAATTAACCACTGTCATTTTCCAAGCTGAAAAAGAGGTGTGTATTTATCTGTAACATTTACTGTTACTTTGTATTTCAGCTTGTTATTGTAAATCCCAAATGTAGTTTTGCAACAAAGCAAAATGGGAGAGGTTTACAGGCTGTTTTTAGTCCAGAACATTAATGTTCACTAAGATGACTGGGACTCTGACACCAGAAATCAATTAACCAGATGGGATTAAACCAGAAGACAAACAGCACTGACATCAGATACTGGAAACTGAGAAAAAAAGCACAAAAAGACAGCAGTCAAGTGTAATTTGGTTACACAGGAAACACAAAGAAGTTTGCTACATCCTGCCATCATAGAATCATAGAATCAGCTGGGTTGGAAAAGATCTCAGAGATCAAGTCCAACCCTTGATCCAACCCTGCTGTGGTTCCCAGACCATGGCACTGATGCCACATCCAGTCTCATCTTAAAAACCTCCAGGGATGGTGAATCCACCACTTCCCTGGGCAGCCCATTCCAATGCCTCATTACTCTCTCTGTAAAAAATTTCTTCCTAATATCCAACCTAAACCTCCCCTGGCACAGCTTGAGACCATGCCCTCTTGTCTTATTGCTGGCTGTCTGGGAGAAGAGATCAACCCCCACCTGGCTCCCCCCTCCTGTCAGGGAGTTGCAGAGAGTGAGGAGGTCTCCCCTGAGCCTCCTCTTCTCCAGGCTGAGCCCCCCCAGCTCCCTCAGCCTCTCCTCACAGCACTTGTGCTCCAGTCCCTTCCCCAGCCTCGTTGCTCTTCTCTGGACCTGCTCCAGCCCCTCAATGTCCTTCCTGAATTGAGGGGCCCAGAATTGGACACAGCACTCGAGGGGTGGCCTCATCAGTGCTGAGTCCAGGGGGACAATCACTTCTCTGGTCCTGCTGCCACACTGTTCCTGATACAGGCCAGGATGCACAAACCCAGATGAATAACATGAAATGCAACAACGGAATGATTTTTCTCAGAAGGAAATTAAAACAAAACAAACAAACAAAAAATACTGAACATGTTTGGCACATTTTCTACATAAAATGTACTATGTTGCAGTAAGCCAAGTCAAGCTAGAGGTTAAATACAGACATGGAATACTAAACCAGGAAAAGAAGTTGCTAACTTTCCAAGAAACTTGGCACTGTAAGCCTGGCAAGCATAAAGACTGGAATAGTGACTGGAATAATTCCTTTTTACCTCACTTCTACCAGGTCGTTAGGTTTGTAACTGGGATGGAGGAAGAACCAAACTTTCTTGACAAAATGATTTATGCTGGGTTCTCTCCGAGAGCCTCGAACGTACACCATCCATTTATGGGTTGACTGATCATTTTCTTCTCTCTTGTCAGGGGGAATGTACCTGGTAAAGAAAGTAAAAAAACAAACACAAGATAAAAATCCCAAATAGAAAAATACTGCAAAAAGCATTTCGGGAAAGTTTAGGCAAAAAAACTGGGGATGGTAAAATGCCTGTGGGAACCTTGCCCCCGTACAGTTCGCTTGTTCGTCCTTACTCTGACAGTTCATCCAGGAGCAGATACGGGTCCCAAAATCTACTCTACTCTTCTAACACATTTACTCAGTTTTAATGCACAATGGCCGTATGAAATTCACCTATTTAAACATTTGGTTCTTAATTGGGAAGACTTAATTTTAACATTCTACCACAGCCAGATTCCTTTTCCCATCCTGTTCTGAGATATCACAAGCAAAGCCACACCAGAACACATCAACAACTCTGCTATCATAAATACAATTCAGACAATAAAAACAATTATTCTTAGGAATTTTTAAGAAACTTCGGAGTCAATACAGGAATTTTTAAGAAACCTTGGAGTCAATACTTAGTTCTGGGTACAGCTTTAGGTAGATTTTCAAGATGCAAGTCTAAGACTAGGCTTTGTCAGCAAACGCCTGATACTTTCTATGCAAAAGACTGATTTGAGTAGTGCCAGCGTGGAGAGTTAAAACCTGGAATTGTCCATAGTTTCCTAAAATTAATGCCTTTCTTCACTAATTTCCTCAAAGTTCAAAAGTTATGTATATTTACCTGGAAATTTTAATAAATATATAAATAAAATCTGTAAAAATTAATTTATTCAGATTATTCTGGGCTGTCACAATTTTTCTCATTCTAGTCATTTAGTGCACTGGGGGGGGGTGTTTCTGTTTAATAAAACCCCCACACTATCCCTAGGGACACACTGAATTAACCAACTAATTCAATTAATCAACACACTGAATTAGGACAACTTGCTTTTCCAAATTTTCATGGGAAAGCTTCAGACTTCTAACCGATCAAAAAAGGCTGAAATACTTCCCTTGAGAGAAACAGATCTTAAAACCTCCCTATATATACATATATAAATAAAACAACTACTAAAACACCTGATCCTCCCACAGAAAAAAACAAACACCTCATGCAGACACCTGAGGAGAGCTGCCTTGGCTACAGTGATTATTTAGGGGCAACACCTTATGCTGTGACAGCCTAGCAATTTTATTTGCCTCCTAATTTTAACCTCCTATTCCATTTAATCCTGAAACAAAGGACCGTCCCTCAGGCTGTGGATACTAACTTGGAAACGTTGCCAACCACAATCGTTTTCTTCACATAAAGCCGTGAAGTTTCATCATTTGACAGTCCGGCATTTCGTTGTCCTGGTTTTTGAGAGCTTGAAACACCCGAACTGTCCTGAGGGTAGGGGAAGAAAAAAAAGGCAAACAAAAACCCAAACATTCCTCTTAAACATCATTTTGTTTGGTGCTAGAAATGTAAGGTGCTGTTAAAAAAAAACAACAACAGACCTTCATAAATGAAAGACCAACAACAAATCATCCCTAAAAATATCTGAATTGTTATCCAGATACATTTAAGCAACTCAGGCATGGAACAGTGCTATCCTACCTAGCCAGGAGCGCACGGCACAGCTTGACTGAGCGGACATTGTGCGACATCACATGGATCTGAGTCATGATTTCAGCTTGGCTTTCAAAAGCACTACCTCTGCACTATCTGAAAGAAACAGGCACTGCTAGAATGGCATCATGTTGGTCACTAATCAGAAAAAAAAAGGTAAATCTCCCACAAGTGGGTGCTGAAAATCTAAATCTTTCTCCTTCCCAGACTCTGCTGCTTTGAGGGACTCTGGTGTTGCTTCATGGTGAAGAGTCAAGGCTGGGCTTGAGACAGCAATTCAACTCAGCAGGGACAGCAGCAGCCACACCATGTCACTGACATCCAGGTGAACCTGCAAATCCACCACAATCCTTGGGGCACAATACAACCAGCAACCCTGTAACACAACCCCAGCTATTACTGGGGCCAAGGCCAAGACTCCCTGATATGACAATGATATGACCACCTACAGTGCCAACACAAATGGAACTGCTGTTTGCATGGGAACAAGAGGCTTTTCTACAACTCTCGGATAAAGCAGATGTCTGGAGAATAAGGGACTGCCATCCTCTAGTGACCAACAGAGCTGGAGCTGCAGCTTCCTGGAGCACACTCCACTGAGCTCTCCCCAGACGAGGGTCAGCATGGGGAGCAGTGGATTCACTAGGAACCATTAGCTCTCCTCTGTCAAGTCAGTCATGCCCCAAAGTGGAGCAAGAAGCCATGAAAGGCTGGGATGGCTCCTGCTCCTTAACACTCCCTCAGTCACCTCTGGGCCACAGGCTGCAGGTCGAAGATGTACCAACGCGCTACACCCAAGCAATGGAGCTGCTCCATCAATGCCCTCAGTGCAAGAAACAAGTTCTGTTGCTCTGGTGGTTTACGATGTAGGTGGGTCCACATTCCACAGGGTGTATCTGCCTTCTGGCACAGACCCCAAGCAGGGTTTCAGCAAACTGCAGCCCTGTTATCAGTGGTGTCACACTGTTCAGTGGAGGCAGAATCACTGCCCTTTCTCCCATGTATTACTACAACTTGCTCACCTGCAGAATGCAGCCAAATTCACTGAGATATACCCATCCCTTGGGTTAGGGGCTGTACTCGTCTCAGGCCTGACTGCTTAAATGAGGAAAGGAAATGGAAGAGTTTCATCTCACCTACTAAGGCACATTTCACCTGCAGACAGTGAGTGAGCCTCCTCCGTGGAGCTACCTGCAGTCAACAGGTGAAGCATTTGTGTGGCTGCACAGTGAGCCATAAAGGGAATGGATCCAGGTCAAAAATAACCCAGGAAAGAGCACAAGGGGAAAACAACAGAAGGTATGTTTAACCTGGGTCAGTCTGGTACAGTTGAGCAGTGATACTATGATGCAAAACAGCAAGCAGCACCCTAAAGAGAAAACCAACTCAAACTATGCACCCAGGCTCTACCAGCTCACACTCCCAGGGTGAGCTACTCCACCGGTGTTACTGTTTTCACTACAGGTTGCTGAGGAGGCCAAACCCTCCACTGGATCAACTGCTCTTGCAGTCCCCATCAGCACCCAGGGTCAGGCACTACTTCCTAAAAACACATCTTGCTCTTCTCTCCAGGCTCTGCCCTCCTGACCTGACTTCCATCCGTACAGCAAAACCCTTTGCTCAGGCTCTGAAGCACCTCCTAGCCCAGAGGCTACAACCAGAGAGCAGCAGACCTGTGCTGCCACCACTCTCCCTGCGGCCTGCTGAGCTCACTGCTGGGCAGGGCTGAGTTAAGAGGAGTTACCCACGTCACAGACACTTCAGGTGGCCTTACAGCAAAGCCAGGCTGAGGGAGTGGGAGCAAGCAGTTGGAGAGGGCAAGAAACAGATCTTCAGCAAGGTGGGTGAAAACATGAAGAGCTCCTGGTGCCAGCACCGAGTCCACAGAGCACACACCTCCAACAACTCAACCACCACTCGAGTTTTACTTTACCCGGCCAGAATTTCTGCTCTGTCTCTGGTCCAGGCTGTTTGCCAGCCGCTCCTCTGCGTCCAAGTTGCCATTGTCTTTGTCCAGGAGAAAGTCATTGTGCTGAGAGAGCGAGTCGCTCTCGGAGTGGTTGGCAGAGGGAGTGTCTGAGCCCTGGTTAGCTGGAGATGAGGATCTCGAGGGCGATTCCAAGAATTTCTTGATTGAAGGGTGATTAAGAATTGTCGCATCACATGACCTGGTGCCCTGCAGGAAGGAGGCAGATCTGGTCACTATACCCCTGCAGCCCAGATAAAAAAGGAGCTGCACCAGAAAAGAAAAAGTCAATGTATGAAGAAAGAGCAAATATTTAATCAGCTGCCCTGTAGGAAAAACATATGTTGCAGAAGATAAAAGCTTAAAATGGTTCTACACAAACAGCACTACAAATTGAATCTGTTCCCTTAGGCCTTTTGATCTCAGAAACCCATCAGGTTTTGGAAACGAAGACTGCAGCCTACTCAAATACCTACAATGCCCCTTTGTAAGTAACATCATCTCTTCCCATGCAGACACCTACACTCTCCCACCACACACAGGAAGGCCACAGCTGCCCAGCTCTTGCAGGCAATCAGGGTACTAAGTGCATCAGGCTCTATAGCTTTGATACTCACTGGCCGTCTTGTCAAAACCTGTGAGGCAAACTACACATATTAGCACCCTGCCTGCTCCCAAGGCTTAACAGAGGATAAACAATAATGTGCTTAGACAAGCTTGCAAACTTTCCTCAAAACGGACATCTTAGAGCTAATCTTAGATCCTCCTAAACCTGCAAGGGGGAGGACAAGGCGGGCAAGTGTTTACATCTCTTTATTTTTCTTCCTTAGATTGACAAAGGCCCTTTTCTTAAATCCTGAATTTGCTTTTAACCTCAGAAGTAGAATGAAAATACCCATCACTCAAAGCAAGTGTCCCTCAGTCACTTGTCCCAGCCACCAGTCCTCCCTGTCACCTTGGTTTGATGAAACCCCCCTGTCAGACAGACAGCCTTGCTCCAGCTCCTGAAGCCACACACACACCGGAGTGGCACTGACAGCTTTTCTGATAGGCAGTACCAGCTGAAAGAGGTTTCTTCCCTGCCCAAACCATCTGGATCAGCCAAGCTGGCACAATTATTCATGGGGAGGGGGCAGGTCACAAAGGAAAACAAATTAAGAAACTAACTTGGGATTTATTTGTTGCTTTGTTTATTATTGGTTTTGTTCTTTTTTTTTTTCTTTTCCTTTGCAGGTTTATTTTTCATCCATGTGAATTCCCTGATCCAAAATTCTGCCAACACGATGGAGGGGGTTGCATGGGGATAGACACCAGCACCACTACGGAGCAGCAGAACTGCCTTCAAGAGGTGGTAGCAGGAGTGGAGTTAAACATTGTCCCATCTTGGCTTTTAAAGGATCATTTGAGAACATTCTTTCCAACTGTCCCTTACACACACAAGTGAAGCAATTACCAACTCTCAGTTACCTGCTTATGAGAGTTATATCTGTACATCCAATGGTAGGGACACACGTCCAAAAAAAACCCAAAACCCAAACCACTACCAAGACCCTCTTCTTTTGCTTTACCTCTTGTCAAGTAAAGTGACCAACACCTTGTTCAGTAATTTGTGGGAAAACATAATAAACTGTAATCATGAGTCCTCATAAGCCTCAAAACTCAGCAGCACTGGGTTCCAGAATTGTTTTTATTTATGAGAACAGGTCAGGAATTTGCAAATCATCTTCCTAGAAGTTCTGAATGAAAGTACAAAGACTCCCATTCTTCCAGAAGGAGAAACAAGACAATCATTCCCTGTCGAGTCAAACATACACGAGCCACAATTAAAAACAGACAACAAAGAAAACTGAAACCAGCAACAATTTCAAAATGAGAAAGAAGTGATTTAGCCTGCATGCAAATCAGGACTTTCAGAAAAAATTAAAAATGCAATTGAAGATACAGCTATTGTAGCCATAATATCATAAATACTACTTGGAAAACTAAATAAAGCTAGGAGGTGCCAGTAAGTTTTGTGAATACTTCAAAACAATTACAAAATGTGTTATTTCTAGCAAGTGTGAAATTCAGCAGGGAAAAAAACAAACACCCTGCATGGCAGAGCAAGGGACAGTATAGCTCTTGTAGACACATGATAGCATTGGATAAAGGCACTTTCAAAGATCAGAACTTAGCTCACATTCTTCAGCTGCCCAGACAAAAATTAAGGGGGGCAGAGGGATCTCCAAGCCTCCCAATGCTTCCACAACTTTTTCCAATGCCTGTTGCTCAACTCAAGTTCATTGAGAGAAAAACAAGCTGAACTTTTTTCTTTTTACCCCACTCCAAGCCCTGTGGAAATCACAACAGGGAAACCAGGATCAGCACTGAGAGCCACTGCTTGGAAGAGAAATTCTTATGGGACTACAGTGAAACTCATGTTTGCAGCACCCATCTGCAACTTCCAAAAATCAACTCAGATCTTTACTGGAAATCAGATCAACTCCGTGAATTGAAAAGATAGTAATGAAATACCTACACTGGCAAGGAACTACATGGCATTTGGGAGCCTGCACAAGTCATGAACATGCTACAGTTAGCAGTCATTAAGGGCAGAGTGCTCAGAACTGGGCTTTAACTAAGAAAGTTTGAGGTTCTTTTAATCTTGTGAATTTTTAATCTCCCTGTAATATCTCCCTGATTTATATCTTGCTCTACTGCTGCCATCAGTCTGTTCATCAACCCTTCAACAGACTGGCTGCCAGGTTAAAGGGAAGATGGTTTCGTGGCACTGTCCAACCCTCTAAAAATCTTGAAATCTTGATTTTTTTTTTTTATTTTTTTTTCTTTCTTGAAAAGTTCCAAAACCCATCTGCTTCCACTCTCCTCCTGTGGAATGGGAAAGCATGTTCCCCATTTTTCAGGGCTTTGCAAGGACAAACTGTGCAGTGTCTGACAAGAAAGGTGCTGTCATGCAAAAACCGATGAAAAAAAATGCAGAGTATTTTAGAAACCAGAACCAGGAGATGCTGAATGACTTCTCAACTGCTCCCTGAAGGCTCCTCTTTGCCAAGTTCCTGAGGCCCAGCTGGTGGTGCACAGGTCTCCTCTCCCACTGGCACCCCACTTGCAGTTTGCATTCCCCCATTTTGTTAAATCACATCTCAAAAACAAACATCAGCTGAATAGCCAGTGAACTCTACATCTTTCTTTGCAAAAATCCCCCTTAGTCTTATTGTTCCCAGAGTAATTTTTACCTCTCCAGCTTTAAGGAGACCAGCAGATGCGTAATAGTTGGCGACAATACAGGCACGCAGCTTGTCCATCATCCTTCTGGCTTCGATCAGGCGCTACCAAAAGAAGAGGTGACATACAGTAAAAATAACCACTGCAGCCATCACCAAACCCCCATACACCAGCATCTTAGGTACTGATAGGAACAAAACCTTTATACCTGATCTATAACTTCGATTTCATGTTCTTTACTCTTCATTTCGACAGCAAACTGTTCTTTTATAATAGTCTCAATCTTCTGCACGGTAACATCTCGAGCTGTAGGAGGCCACACATGGAAAATAAAGAAGAATGAAGTATTTACACTTCTATTTTTGAGGCTCTATTTGAAAACAGAAAGATCAGAGATCACTACGGAGTGAGAAGTGAAGGGATAATAAGTTCAGCACACACACAGAAAAAGGGAAGGATCATTTTCCTGCAAAAGAAAGTTATTTGCCTTAACAAAAACCACATGTATCCTTAAAAGCTGGCTTATGTAGAGAGCTGTTTTTTCCTTTTTAGGTCTGAGATGACAAATAGCAGAAAATGGGAAGAACAGGACCAGTTTGTTTACTTCTGTCTCAGTGAAGCTGTAAACAGTAAGAGGAAAACTCCAAACTGCCACGGCCAAGTGCAGTTACCGCTGTGATTGCGCAGGAACGAGTGGGAACACCAGGGATGTTTTTCTGCTCTCCTTGGCCAGATTCACATCCAGGAAATTTACACCACATCACGCAGCAATAATGAGGCAAACCCATACTTCAGCACTGGCACGAAGTGCAGCCTCCTCTGGAGTGCCTACAAACCATTTATTACTCATAAAGGAAACTATATTATCAAAAGCTGGTCTATCTCTTACAAAATCCCCTTCCAGCACAGCAGTCAAAAAAATTTAGCCTTTCAGCAGGAGTTTACTGACCTCAGTGGAAAGTATGTAGTTTAAGATTTCAAACTGGGCAAATACCTAACAGCAAATTAGTGGCTAAGAATGAAATTGGCACATTATTGTATTTTTCTAGGACATGTATACATAGGAAGAACTGTTCTTTTCGCTCTACACATACCATAGCTTTTAATGTTGCCCTTCCTTTGTCATCTCCATTACCCCTCAAGGGGGTTCAAACAAGAACTATTTTTATCAAGCTCTAAGTAAGAATCTGGCAAAGCAAGAATTAACACTTCTAGAATAAAGCCTGGAAAAGGTGCTCCAGCTTGTGCCAGAAATACAGTGACTCCACTGCAAAGTAGATCAGAGAAACAGCCTGGGCTTCTCTGGAAAAATTTCACATTGCTTCTACATGGAATAGAATGCAACAGCACCAAGACTTTGGCTTGAGCTTCAGAGTAAGCATATGTTTTCCTAAGAGGTATGTATCTGTTTGAAGAGGTTTCTAATATCCCAATAGAAAGAGTAAAGAAATCAAAAGCAAGTCAAAACCTTGCTGGTATGTTCCAGACAGCATACATAACTGTACTGTCTAATAAGGTACCTACAACAGAAGTGAGACAACTGATACCTCTATATGCAACAGGGGTATCCTAAGTATTTTTACTTATTTCCACATACCTATATATATACACTTATATATTCTAGGATCAGCAGTAGTTCAAGCCCACATTAAAACAGAATTACATTGGAATCTGTATGACTAAGGCAAAATTAAAAAGCAGAGGGATATAATTTACCTCCAGCCATGCCTAGGAAATTCACATGTAAGGCTACACTTAAAATAAACCTAAACAGATGAAGTTATGAGATGTATGGTTCAGATGGGGACAACTCCATCTCTTCCCTGAGACATGATGCCATGCCACACCAACATTATGACAATTAAAGCACTTTAGGATTTGTGGTTATATTAGGCTTTTAAGGACACTTTATTTTCGTATTTTGCCCAGCTTGTGTCAACCACAGTCCCTCATTAAGACTGTTAGTGAAATTTGTATACTTCAGGAATTGAAAGCTGGAGATCTTCCATGAGAGGAAGAAAGAAGCCAATTTGGAGGAACCACCTGAACAGAAAGTTCACTTTGGCAAGGACAGTTTTCCAGGGCCCTAAGACTTTGCCTGCTTGTTATCAAGACTTTCTGAAGAAGTTGCTTCAGAAGCAGATTTAAAATCCCATCTGCAGTCCCTGGGACACTTCAGAACAGAGGGTGGTGACTTCTGGCAGCCAGACAGGGCAGGCAGCTGGGAGTGGTGACACAGCCACACACAGCACAGCTGCACTGGGCCCCACTGTGAGGGCCCCTGCCCCACGTGGCAGACAGGACCTGACTAGCAACACATTCACTTCAGAGTTCAGACTCCTCAGACCTGACCAGCTGTATACCATCCTCCAAAACATCACCCACGAAGCCATCATCTGTCCCTCTCCAACTGGCAGCTCTGGCACCCTGCTCTATTCCTGGATCATCTTCAGATCCCACAGCCAGCCTCGGTTTTCTCACCTCCCTGTTCGTCAGCTCTTCCCATCATGATCCTCTCACTAGCTGTGCTATGCCAAAAATCACTGGTCTACTCCCTGTCCCCGGGGCAAGAAGCTCCACTCTCATTTGCCCAGAGAGGACTGCAACCTGTCCCAGGCACTCTGCCAACAGGCTGGTTTCCAAAGCATATCTAATCGTGCCAAATGCAAACCTACTCATCCAGCTACTCTCTCCACTACACTTCTTTGTCCCCATCTCCTTTAGTCAGGTTCCTCTTCCTCCCCTCTTGCATGTTTCAAGGCCCCTTCCTTCTCCCTAACTTATCCCTTCTACACTGCTCCTTTCCATTTTATCTGCCTGCTCTTGCAAACATTTGTCATCTTCCAAGAGCCAGTCTGTGTACTGCAGGGTCATGGATTTTTCCCCTCCCCAGGCTGTACTGCAACCTGCACATCCCCCAAAACATAAACAAATTGCCAATCCTTCCAAGAGCAGACTTCAACTGCAAAATAGATATACAGGCTGCAGCACAACTCAGCATGGGAAGGTGCACTGTCAAATACTTCAGCAAGCAGCAGGAACCAAAGTACATGGCTGGGACCTTGGAGAGCTCGTGCTCCAGCTTCTATCACACACCAAAGGCTGCATCCTCACACTTTATTTATGGTTCAGATAGCAGGTAGGGATGACTACACATACGGCACATCTTCATTTGGCTACACAGAGGTATCACTACTTGCCTTGCTCAACGTCTGCCCTTTGGCCCCTTAGCTCCTGCCCCAGCCCTTTCCTGAAGGTTTGTGGACAGCATGCACATCCACAGCGTTTCCAGCTCCACAGCTCCTACCTGACTGTTCGGCTGCTTTGTGCCGCTTGTTGGGATGTGTGATGGTGATCTCCTCATAGTCGGGGTCCTTCTCTGCGATCACTCTCTTGATCCCAGACATGTTCTCTACTCCACTGACAGGAAAAATAAAAGCATTAGCGTTACCCATAGTGACCTTCTGGGCAAACTTCAACCTCTCGCCTCGTGCGGGGAGGCCTGTGGTGCACCCGCAGGAGGGGGGGCAACTCCTTCCCCAGGGGCTGGAGATCATCCCACAGCTGCACAGGGGAGCTGGTACGTTCTGTACAGCCCAGAGCTTCAAACGCCTCCCGGGCCCTGCGGTTCCCGACGGGCCGGGTGCCCGCATCCTCAGCGGGGCTGCAGCGGTACAGGGCCCCCGTGCCCCGCTGCCCATGAGGGGCAAAGAGACCCTGCTCGGGATCCCGAGACTCCGGGAGAGACAGGGCTCACTCCGCACAGGCACCCCCGCCGCTGGAAGGGGGAACTCGGGCACCCCAAGCACACGGGGAGAGCCCAGGATGCCCCAGCACCAGCAGAGCTACCCCGCTCCCCGCCGCGGGGTCACACACCGGCCGTGCCCCGCCGAGAACCGCCTAACGCGGGCCACGACCCTTCCCGTGAGGGGGCAGTGCGTCCCGCCGGGGCGGGAAGGGCGCGGGGCAGGACCCGCGGCCGCGAAGCCGGGCCGACGCCGCCGCGGGGCACGGTGTGAGTTTCAGAGGTGTCCGGGGTGACGGCGGTGGCGGTGCCGCCGCGGGGCGCGGAGGGCGGAGCGCTGCCCGCGGCCAGTCCCACGTGCGGCGGCGCCGCTCCCCTCCCCCGCCGCGCACACAAAGCCGCCGCCGCGGCCGCGCTCCCGCCCCGCGCCGCTCCCGCCCCGCCGCTCACCCGCGCTCCGCCACTGCCCGGCCCCGCCGCCCGCACCGGCCGCCCCCGCCCGCCGCGCCCGCGCCGCCCCGGGCGCTCAGCGCCGGCCCCCGCGGGGCCGTCCCGCCGCCGCCGCCGCCATGAGCGCAGGGCCGAGCGCCGCCCTCGCCGCCGGGGCGGGCCCGCGCAGGCGGGCAGCGCGCGGGGGGCGGTGCCGGGCCGTGAGGGGCCGTGAGGGGCCGCACCTGCTCCCGCGGGCAGGGGCTGCCTCTCGCAGCACCGCGGGGGCAGAGGGCGGCGCGGGGGGCGCGGAGCTACCTCAGGGAAGGGGTCGAGCCGGGCCCGTGGCGCTGTGGGGGCCCGGCCGCGCCGGTCCCGCCGCGGGCGAGGAGCGGGCTGTGGGCAGGGCAAGGCTCGCCCGCGGCACCTCGGGGACCGAGATGGGCGACGCGGCCGCGTTCCTCTGTGGAGAAACGGGTGCAGTGCCCTGATCCGGACTTGTTGCCTGGAACAAGCGTGTTTTAACGCGTAATAGAATTTGGGGAAGACATTTTAACACAGAAGATACTCCATGAAAGGATGATGAGAAGGGCACTGAGGTGCTGGAGCGGGTCCAGACAAAGGCGACGGAGATGGTGAAGGGTCTGGAGCACAAGTCCTGTGAGGAGCGGCCGGGGAGCTGAGGGTGTTTAGCCTGGAGAAAAGGAGGCTCAAGGGTGACCTTATCACTCTCTACAGCTCCCTGACAGGAAGCTGTAGCCTGGTGGGGGTCGGGCTCTGCTCCCAGGCAACATGAGACAGGACAAGAGGACGTAGTCTCAAGCTGCACCGGAGGGGGTTTAGGTTGGACATCAAGAAGAAATTCTTCACATAAAGGGTGATTCGATATTGGAACGGGCTGCCCGGAGAGATGGTGAAAGACTGGATGTGACGCTTAGTGCTCTGGTCTGGTTGACATGGTGGTGTTCAGTCAGGTTGGACTTGACGATCTCAGAGGTCTTTTCCAACCAAAATGATTCTGTGATTATATGATTAGCAAATGAAAAAAAAACACAACAAGCCACTAAAACCAAGAAAGGACGCCTGGGCTGATGAGGTGCAGGATAGCAGCAGCCCACAGCACATGCCACCTCACAGCCAGGATGGCAGCCCTCACCTGCCCTTAAATAGGCTTCACAAAAACCTTGTACCATACTTACTGCTCACCATACTTCATATTCTCTCAAATCAGAGCTAAAATTGTCCGAATTAGTGCAGTCAATGCCACAGTTTGGTTTTCGCCAGGCTGCAATACCTGCCAGGTGCAGCTAATGGCATTGATGCTTTTGGCTGGTAGTCTCATGGTTCGTGCAGTGAGCTGTGAACCAGCATAAATTAGTGTCCTGCTCACTCATGGATTTGCAAACTTATTTATGAGGCCACTAATTTGCAAGTACTTGAATGTTCAAGGCTTAGCCCTTAAAATCCTCTTTTTGTTCTTATTATAGGACCACTACTAGGCCTCTTTTCAGAACATTTTAATGTTTTAGGGAAGTAAGCAAGATTAAGATTGCACAAAGAGCAAGTTCTGAGACAGATCTAAAATACACATTACATGGAAGAGGAAGCCAGGAGTACAACTAGTATTCCACTAGTATTTGTAAAAAATGTGGTATTAGATCAAATGATTCCTCTCAGTTCAAGTGTAATAGTACCTCTCCATCACAGTCTGACCCGCTTACTCTGCCATCTGGGAGCAGGACCTTGAGATGGCCAAGTAGCTAACTTTAGGAAAATAAACTTTCTATGATTCTTTCCAACCTGTGTTATTGCCAGTCACCTTCCTAGTGTTATGTGACCTCTTCCTGCTTTCCCATGCTGGTTTTGCCTTCCAAGTCCACTCACATTCTTTTCTCATCACAGTACCCAGGACAAACCAGATTTCACATGCCACCCATGTTTTTTCAGTTTTCTTTCAAGTTTACTCCTCTACACAGTCTCCAGCTTGCCTTTATTCCCATTGGTAATAAGTTCTGTGTTGAGGACAGAAAGAGGAGAAGGGAAAACACGTAGACTGGGAGGCAGAAGAAAGATCAATGGATAGATACTGCACAAGGGGCAGAATCCAACAAGTTCAATGACCCAGAAAAAACAGGAGGGAGGTTCCTCCTTTCTCCACCAAGCCCCACCCTGGAACTTCTCATAAACTAAATAAACCACAGTGAACTATTCAAAAGGCAAATGTTTATTAGGTACACTGAACTTTAAAAAACTTTCAAAGAATTATGCAAGAAATATATTTAAATATAACAGGTGTTATTGCAATTGTGCTACATAACAAAATCACTTTTCTACTGTCAGCACAATCTGAAGACCTCAATGTTATATGCAAGACATGTTACATTGACTCTGGCACACAGTAAGTGGTCTGAGCTTTCCTGTTCAATCACTTGTGCTGCACCAGGCTGTTCTCCAGGAAAAGATCAGCTCTTCGTGGAACTACGGCTTTTATGTTTCAGTAAATAAAGGAACTGGCAAGGAATAACACAAACTGCTGTTTTCCTCAGCAAAAAAGGAAAATCAAAACATGATTTCAGGCGAAGATACAGTATCATATGAGTAACAGTTCAGGAGGTAAACTCTCCTTCCATGGCCAAGTAGCTCCTATTAATCCCACTCCGAATTGCTACAGGTGCACCAAAGGAGAATGACTCATAGGTCCAGCATTTACACAGATGAAATTAGTAACAGTACATTACATTCAAGTCTCTTGATTTGCTTATTGCCATGCTGCACCACATTATTGCTTCATATTTTGTATCTTGAACAAGAGGTTGATGACTTCAGAGAGTTCAGAAATATCATAGAGGCTACTGACTAAAACAAGAAACTGTACATATTAAGGTCAGGAAGTCAAAGATTAACCTCAGTCCTTTGTCATCGAGGTGTGCTGGAAACAAAAAATAGAAAAAAAACAAATACTGATTTCCCTAGATTATATCTGCCATAGCACTGTATAAATGGAAGCACTCTAGGCATATTCTAAACAAGAAGTTTAACTATTTTAATCTAAATGAATGGTAACATTTATTTCTCTTAGAGGGACATCAACAGTCCAGACAGTAAGACCAATCCTAATAAAGGTACAAATAGGGAGAAGTAATCCAAGCTCTTTTTCACAATAGATAAAAATATAGGTGAATTTAAGGCACAGGTCTTTTCAAAATTAACATACATTCTTTTCTTCGAAGCTAAGCATACAAAGTAAGCTATAATTACATTATTAACAAGCTGTACACAGGGGCTTTATGTGCCTCACTTATAACAGCACTATCAGAAAATGATCAGAGAATTCTTCACATGCAGATGTTCACACACAAATGTGAGCATAGACTGGATCCCTACAGTAGAAAAAAGAAATGCTCCTGTAATAGTTTACAGTTCTTAGACAGTAACGTTACCAAGGCTGTATACTTTGATGAACCTGTGTAACGTTAGTTAGGGAGGAGAGCAAAGGCAGCGTGCAGAGAACACGAGTCACTTCCTGCCTGGGGGTGGTAGGAGCCTGTTGTGTGGCGATGCTCAGTAGCACTGACATGGTCATGATGAACTGACAGCCACATCCATTTTTTATTAATGCTATCTGAAATAATTCCATACTGAGGAAACTTGTGTGCCAAACATACTAAAAAAAAAATTAAAAAATCACTGCTTGGCTCCCAACCAGACAGCAAATTTCTGCTTAGAAATCTCATCTTACCATTTAGACTCCTTTTCTGAGTATACGTTGCTCAGATTTTTTTAGCCAGGCACAACAAACCTTTTCATTTGTACTTTCTTGTGTGCATGCAACTACATCCAGATGAAAATATTCATTGTGCCTCACAGTGATCACATCTTCTGAGTTTCTTAATGCTCTTGGATTGGTTTTTGCCATCTTCTGTGGAAGGAATAAACCCCACATCTACCTGCCTAGTTGGGCAATTCAGAAAGATGATCCTTTGGCTTTTCTGAGCTCTGCCACTGGCAGAGCATAACCGTATCTGCACATCTATTGCTCCAGCTGAGTTCACTGAATGGAGACACAAAATATTTTTACCACCTGAGTTTCTGCATCTGGAATTGCAAACTTGTGAGCATCCAGAACACCTTGGTTTCAGCAAGCCCAGCCACATGTACAAACCCCTCCTGCCACCTCTCCGCTCCAGGGAGTTCCTCTTGTCTCGTCTCTTTGGAGCTGGACAAAGCTCACGGCTCTGCCCCAGCGGCCTCGGGCAGGAGGGGAACCTGAAGTCACAGGCAGTGAGCAGGTCTCCTGCTTCTCCTTCTGTCCTTACAGCTCAAGTAAAGAAAAACCAAGATAAACTGAGTATTTCCCTAAGATAATGTGGTGAACTCAAGTATTCTGAGGAAGAAGCTGGAACAGACAGCAGTGTCCTTACTCTCAAGCCTCCTCTAAACCTCTGTCAAAGTGAGCATTTCCTCTTCCTACATCATTAGCCTCTCTCAAAAGTTTGCAGTATTAAAAATATCATTTAAAAAGCTTCAGTAAATTATGATAAGGATCCATATCAACATGTTCTGCATTAACATCTCTGCTTCAGAGAGTACCACAAAGCAATCTTTGATGAGAACCACATTGGTGCCAACTAAAATAAAAAGTGCACAATCTGGACCCCTTGGTGCTGGAGTGGAAAGCACAGTGCCCAATTCCCAAAATGCAGGCACACAGTATAAAATGACTCAACTGATGGAAGAGAATCCACAAATTATGCCTACTTAAGCATTATCAAGGAGGGAGCCTACAAGTACAACTAACATGATTCCCAGGAACTGTTCTGTGCTTGATGGCTGTAAAAGGGGGAAATGCTTCAGCTCAAAGCAGAGGGCTGGAGGCTGCTCTGTACTGCAGTACTGAAACTGGTGATTCAGAACCTTCCAGAACCCCGGCTGCGAGGAAGCATCAACTTTCTTTTCAATTAACATCACATTACTAAGAACAGAACTGGACATCAAAATGGAGAAGAAAAATATTTACTCATTCCTGTTTAGTGAAGACAATGCTTAAAAATGATTTTTTAG